GACCCCAGTTGGGTCCCATTGCCCCCCCTTGACCCCTGTTGACCCCCCCCTTGCCTCCAGTTGACCCCCGTTGACCCCAGTTGAGCCCAGTTGGCTCTCATTGACCTCTCTTGACCCCAGTTGGCCCCAGTTGACTCCCGCTGATGCCAACTGACCCCCCTTGGCCCCCCTTGACCCCAGTTGGGTTTCATTGACCCCAATCGACCCCCATTGAGTGGCCTTGACCCCCCCTTGACCCCAGTTGGGTCCCATTGATCTCCCTTGACCCCAGTTGCCCCCAGTTGGGTTCCATCGCCCCCAGTTGGGTTCCATCGCCCCCAGTTGGGTTCCATCGCCCCCAGTTGACCCACCTCGACCCCAGTTGCCCCCAGTGGCCCCCATTGCCCCCAGCTGACCCCCATTACCCCCAGTCGCCCCCTCACCTCCCTCTCCGACGTCCCCCCAGCCGGTGGCGACGCAGCGGGTGCCGGGCGGGAAGGTGAGGGTGGGGGAGGGGAGGCAGACGGGGCGCACGGTGGGGCCGAAGGCGACGGGCCGGGCCAGGCGGCCCAGGGCGATGTCCCCGCTGGTGGCCTCGCCCGCGTAGGCCGGGTGGGGGAGGAGCTCGGCCAAGGGCACGGCCACGCCCACCCCGGGGGGCCCCGACAGCTCCCGCACCCCCAGGAGCACCGAGTAGAGCCGGGGGTCGCGGCTCCTGCGGGGGGAGGGGCGGGAGGGGCCGATTTGGGGGGGCGCGACCCCGCCCCCACCGGCGGGACCCCCCCAAAGTTGGCCCCCCACGCCCCTCCCCCATCATCCAAATCCCGCTGTGGGACCCCAAAACTGGTCCCAGTAGGGGGGTCCCACCACCCCCTATCCCCTCGAGGACCCCAAAACTCATCCCAGTCTGGGATCCCACCACTCCCAGTCCCCAGGACACCCCAAAACTGGTCCCAGTAGGGGGGTCCCACCACCCCCTACCCCCTCGAGGACCCCAAAACTGGTCCCAGTCTGGGATCCCACCACTCCCAGTCCCCAGGACACCCCAGAACCGGTCCCAGTATCAGGTCCCACCACCCTCCACCCCCTCGAGGACCCCAAAACTCATCCCAGTCTGGGGGTCCCACCACCCTCCACCCCCTTGGTGACCCCAAAACTCATCCCAGTCTGGGGGTCCCACCACCCTCCCACCCACTTGGGGCCCCCAAAACTGGTCCCAGCGCCCCTCCCCCCCCCACTCCCAGTGCCCGGGTCCCCCCCCAAACTGGTCCCCACTCACCCCTGCAGGCAGTGGGCGGCCGTGAGGACCCAGAGGGGGGACACGAGGGACACCCCACACACGTGGGTCCCCCCCCGTTGGAGGCTCCCCTGCCACGGCCACCGCCCCTCCCCCGCGTCCTCCCCCCCCCACGTTCCGCGTCAGCGGCGGGGGAGGGGCGGGGCGGCC